AAATAAATACATACATACATACATACATACATACATACCTAAAAAAAACAGTGTGGTACTGGTATAAATAGAGGTAAATATAGACAAATATTAGTGTAATACAATTGAGAGTCCAGAACTAAATCTGTGTATCTTTGACCATTAATCTTTGACAATACTGCCAAGACTATTCGATGGGAAAGATTAGTTTCCTCAACTAATGGTGTTGGCACAACTGGATAACAAAATAATGAAATTGGGTCTCTACCTCATACCATATACAAAAAAATCAACTCAAAATGAATCAAAGACCTAAACATAAGAGCTAAAACTATAAAATTCTTAAAAGAAAACGTTAGAAATAAACCTTTATAACCTTGATTTTGGTTATGGGTTCTTAGCTATAATACCAAAGCATAAGGATCAAAAGTAAAATAGCAGATAAGTTGGGCTTCATCTGCATTAAAACTTTTGTTCATCAAAGGGCTCTATCAAGAAAGTGAAGGGCAACCTAAAGAATGGGAGAAAATATTTGTAAATAGTATATCTGAAAATGGTCTAGTTCTCAGAATACATAAAGAACACTTACAACTCAACAGTAAAAAGGTGAACAACCAAATTTCAAAATGTGCAATGTATATGAATAAGCAGTTCTCCAAAGAAGGCATAGAAATGGCTAATACGCACACGAAAAGATACACAACATCATTAGTCATTAGGTACATGCAATTCATAACCACAATGAGATACCACTTCACATTCACTAAGTATGCTATAATTAAAAGAAAAATAAATAGAAAATAGCAAGTTGGTGAGGATGTGAAAAAATTGTAGCACACATGCATTGCTGGTGGGAATGTAAAATAGTGCAGTCACTTTGGGAAAGAGTTTGGCGGGTACTCAAAAAGTTAAACATATAACCACTATAAATAAAAATAGATAAAAGAAACAAATTTCTGCTGTATAGCACAGGGAACTATATTCAATATCTTGTAATAACCTTCAGTGAAAAAGAACATGAAAATTAATATATGTATGTGTATATATACACATACACACATGACTGGGAAATTGTGCTGTACATCAGAAATTGACACATTGTAGCTGACTATGCTTCAATTAAAAACAAGTTAAACATAGAGTGATTATATGACCCAACATTTCCGCTCTTAAAAAAGTACATCCACATGAAAACTTTCATGATTGCTCATAAAAGCATTACTTATAACAGCCAAAATATTACAGCAGCCAAAAAGTAGAAACAATCCAAATGCCCATCTACTGATGAATGGATAATAGCATGTGTTATAGCCACACAATGGAATATTATTTGGAAATAAAAAGAATGAAGTATTGATACAACATAGATAGACTTTGAAAACATTATGTTAAGTGAAAGAAACCAGACACAATAAAATCACATATTTATGGTTCAACTTATATGTAATACCCAGGATGAGTAAATACATAAAGACAGAAGCAGATTAGTATTTTCTAGGCAATGGGAGAATGGGAAAAAGCAGTGAAAACCTAGTGGGTACAACATTTTCTTCCAGGGTGATTAAAATGTTCTAGAAACAGATAATGGTGATGGTTGCACAAACTTCTGAGCCACTGAATTATATACTTTAAAATGTTGAATATTATAGTGTGTGAAGTATATCTCAGTAAAAAAGGAAGATGTCAATGAAAGGTTGATAGAATTTCTTTAGGCAAAGAAGGAGGAAGAACATTGCACGCAGAGGGAACATAATTTTATGTTTTAGATGTGGAGAGATATTTTAGAAGATAAGGCTGAATAGATAAGCTGGAAACAGATTAAGGGAGTTAAGGCTTTATTCTTTGGTAGAAGCATTCATGGGGAGTAACAGAATGTTGTTGAGGAAGGAAAAGTTACATTGCTTAATCTAAGTTTTGGGAAAATAATTCTGACAAAGTGTGATAGAGTTTTTGAAGATAAGAGAGTGCATATTTTGACCTGTCATTGACAAATATTCATTAAGAGCCTCCTGTCTGCCAGGTACTTTGCTGAACTATGGAGAGCTAGTCATGGATTTTATGTCTAGTGACATATAACAGATACTCAATAAATGTAGAATAAGTTAATGGTTTGGTGAGGATGGGAGGACATGGGGAGATCATTTAAAAAGCTATTGAAATTGTTAAGGGAAAAAGAGGAATAAACTACGAGAGTATGGGAAAAGAAAAGAAGAGCTTAATAAGAGAACTGATTCAGTAGTTGAATTCAAGGAACTTGGTGATCTTGATGATTATTTGAGAGGTGAAGGAGAAGGAAGAGTGAAAGACATTGCTGAATTTTCTCACAGGTTTGAGGAGTAGCTTTTGTGACTAAAAGGTAAGTTTAGTTTTAGACAAGTGAGATTAAAAATGAAGCTGTCCAGAGGTAACTAGTCATTGAAATCAGGCTCTAAGGAGAGAAATTAGGGATGAAATTGTTGATTTGAGTATTGTTAGCTTAGAGGTGATATTTGAAGCCACATAAGTTAATAAAAATCCTCTTATGAAATGCTATAGACATACAGGAAGACAGGAATATCTTTAAGGATACTTAAAATCAACGGATGAATCAAGGAAGTTACAGCAAAAGTGTCTGAGAAGGATCAGACAGATAGGTACTAGGAGAACCAAGAGAGATGTGGTGTTGATACTAGTGGTTGAAAAGGCTTTGAAGAGGAAGAAATGTTCAACAGGGCTAACTGCTACAGAGGCATTGAGGAGGATGAGTGTAAATGGAACTTTGGTGATTTGGAGGTCAGTGATGACTCCAGTTTACAAAGTTATGTTGTGATAAATTGAGAGGGACAGTAGTTTGGTAGTGGCCAAAGGAGAGGGATGGGGTGGCAGATGGGAAGAAAGATTTTTATGTTATTTTAAGTAACATATATGTGTGTATATATATTAAATAACATACATATACACATTAGGTTTACATACATACATAGATAGATATTATATAATCCATCCATACAGACATACATTTTAGGCTTTTGTAGAGGATAATGGGTGAAGCAGAGAGTTGGAGTAGTTGAGGTTAAGAGCTCAGAGAGAGTTTGCTATGAAGAGAAGAAAGGCACATTGTACTCTGAGCCAAGAGAGGATGGGTAGGGAAATGTCAAGATAGATTATGGTTGATAGAATTCACATTTGAGGGAAGGGTCTGGATCTTCTCAAAGAAGGCGGAGGTGACCTCATCTCTGGGAGCAGGGCTGGGGACATGAAATTAGGCAGAAAGTGTTCTGAATAGCTCCTATAAGGAATGGGACAAAGATGAGCACATTGATTGACAAATAGCATGGGGATAGGCAATGGATGTCACAGAGCGTGAAAATGAACTGGGACCAATGCATCTCTGGGCTTTTTTTGCAAGCAGAGCTCAGCAGCCAAAGATTGTGAGCAAAGAAATGGCATACAGAGCCATCCTAGAACTGAGGATCTGTACAGAGGCTGAGGTGGAGGGATGAGGGGCTGAGAGCTATGTAAGGCAGAGATGAAACAGGAGACCAAACTTATGGGACCAGATTGAAATGGAGAAAGAGGCAGGTAGAGGAAGCCAAGAGAGAGTAGCTTGTCTCAGAGAGCAGGGAAGGATAGAAGGCTTAGAGTATCTTCTCTGAATCTCAATTTCCTTATCTGTCCATAGAGGTCAATAGTTAGCACTGCCTAACAGCTGCCTGTAAGCATGGATTGTCATAAGGAATTGACAGGTTAATTGGTTGTGAGCAAGGTCCTAGCCAGATGGGCTAGGAATGAACTCAGAGAAATCTGAGAGTGTTCAACTTGTCTCTTTATGAAGTATACATTCTTGGACTTCCTGGCCATGTCCTGTTCTCTCTACTTGACCTGATTGTCACCTCAGAGAACTAGACCAGTGTCCATATAATTCTCTGAGAATGAGACTGCCCTTGTTACCCTGTAAACTAACAGACCAAAACCTACAGCACATACATCCTCACTACAGCTCAACTTTGGGAAAAAAATCCCTGCAGGCAAAACAGGAGTCTAAAACCAACATTAGTCTCGTAATCCAAATGGAAAAAGCCAGTTTGCTCAATTGACTTATACAGAGATAGCCTCAGTGGATAACAATTTTCAGGTGGCTGTGAATGTAATTTCCTAAAAGCAGTTCCCAATGTGTTTTGGGCTATGAAAACCTTACTGAAATAAGTGTATTTCCTTCCAAGGAGATTTCTTGAAAGGCAACAAGACTCACTTGGACATATCGCTGCTGGGCTGTTCATTTAAACTCAGCCTACATTCTTTATGTACATAGTTTGTAGTGTTCCAAAGAAAATGCTGTAGTGAATAGTCAGATCTTAATTAACCAGAGTTGATATTCATTGAGACTTCAATCAGTACTTGCATTTGGCTTTAATAAAAAGGAGGGGGTGGATTTAAAGAAACTATGTAGAGATCTGGACTTTATTTTATAAAGGAAAACCAAACATACTCAACCAACAAAATAACAACAACAAAAAACTCACCAAACAAAGCACAACAAAAACAAACAAACAAAAACTATTCAAAAGGGTGACCAGGGGCTGGTATAGGTTCAACCATGAAAGGCAATCAGACATAGGGGAAAGAACATGAAATTTGAGTGCAAATCCAGGATTGAACTTCTAAGCTGTGAGTCCCTGGGCAAGTAGATTTCCCTTTCTGACTCAGTTTCTTCTTCTGTAAAGTGAAGGTAATGATAACTATCTCATATTTTGGGGATTCAATAGGAAAACATGTGCATTGTATCTAGCAAGTAAAAATACCTAGTAAATGTCACTTTCCCCTTTATCATTTTTATCTACTTAACCTACAACATGACAGGCACTGTCTCCAGCCCTATTGTCCCCAGTGTAGAATTTTTTGTTTTTGTAATTGAACAACCCAGGACTCCCTCCCCACCCCCCCATCCCAACTTCTTTTCTCAGGAATAAGGACATTATACTGATATTTCTCTGGAACAAGGTGGTCTGTTGAGATATTCACCAGGAAAGAGGGTTACTCACCCTTGACTACAAACTTCACAGTGTCACTGTACTGCTCAGAGCCTACTCGGCCCTTGGCAGTACAGAAATAAAAGCCCGAGTCAGTCACCACTGCAGGCTTGAAGAGTAAGGTACTCCTGGTTGCTAGTTTGATAGGTTCTTGATTGTTAATCTGTTCCTTGTACCAAACATAACTGATGGGAGGAGAACCTCGAGCTTGGCATTGAAGGCTAATCCTCATTCCCTGGGGTACTGTGAAGCCATAGTCATTGCCAGTCATCACTGTGGGCTTAGATACAGGGACTGCAAAGAAAGACAAGAGAGGAGGCTCTGAGAAGCTACAAGGATATGGGAATACAAGGCTGAGTCATCCCTGCTGGGTTTCAGAGGTATAGATATATTTCTGCAATGAGAAGTAACAGGGGTTCTTCTCTTGGGAAGGAAAAAGGGAATAGGAAAATTTAAATAAATAAGATCTTCCTTTGGAAGATTAGGTACCATTTTGTATTACCTGAAGTTTTGGATTATCCAGAATTAAAAAAATCAACAGACTGAAAAAAATACTGTTTTTATTTTGTTTTGTTTTAGGCTCAAGTAGAGTTTTTGGATTATCTGCAGTTTTGGATTACCAGGGACAGACCTTTGTAAAATTGTCAAGCCAGCAAAATTAATCCATGCATTCCTTTCCCTATAACTTTTCTGTCAGTATCTAGCCACTCTCCAATATACTGATCAGATATACTCATTTTTATGAGGTTTAAGACTCAGAGCACAAGAAAGGCAATCATACTATGGATGCTGGAATTTCTGGGACACTTTGAAGGTGTAGAGATTTGAAGGCAAGTGAGCATTCCCAACACTTATTAAATTCTGCCATGAGAGTGGTAACACTGAGGTCACTCTGTCCACTTCTTCTGATTAACACATATAACTGAAGAGGGATTATGCACAAGGAAACAAAGCTCTCTGGGTTTCTCAGGGTTTTCTAGGATTACAGTCTTCTATTGGGTCTTTGCTTACCAGTACTTTCCTAGCCCCAACAGTGACTCACGTTTCTGGACACGGAGTTCAGTGATCTTATCTCTCATGAATTTGTTGCCATCAGAGGTCTGCCAAGTGACTTCACACGTGTAGTGGCTCCGGTCATCCATCTCCAGGGTATTCAGTTGGAGGGAGACATCTCCTGGAACCTGGTGGTTCACGTGTAGGCGACCCCGGTACTTTGCTTGCTGGACATGGTCTCCAGAGGAGTCACGTAGAAAGATGGTTACTGGGTTTGAGTCACGTTGTACCAGCCACCTTACCAAGACTTGTGTATAGCCTTGCAGAGGACCATAGGTGCAGGGAATATTTACATCCCCTTTCCAAGGCCCTGTCACATTCTCAGGCACTTCCAGGATGGGATGGCCTGAAAACGGGGAACAGAAGAAGGAAAGATACACAGATGACACACCTACCTGGGGACTAGGGTGGCAATGGCAGGCCTCATAGAGGCTTCTGAGAAACACTTTAACTCACACTTTCAGATTCCCCACGCCCTTTTGTTCTCTGCCAGTCTTCCCATCAATCAGAACCAGTCCTCAGAAGGAGAGCCCTTAAAGTTGTTTAGTTTTTATGAGTTTCAAGTCCTTTCCTGCTGCCTCGCTGTGAGGTGACCCTGGGCAAGTTGTCTTTCACCTAGGAGGATATGTTTTCTTCATATATAATGTAGAGAATTTGGATGGAATGTTTCTGTAACCTCAGCTTCCTCATCTGTACAATGACTCTGATGAGGCTAATAATACTATGCCTACTCCTCCAAATTCAATTCGAGGAGACCACAAAGTGATAGCTGGTCAATTATGTATGAGACAATGATCTCTAAGGGTCTACAAATTACAACATTCTGTAAATCCATGAAAAAAACTTCTTTCAACATTTTCTAAAGGAAATGTGGGAACAAATGCTGAGCAGTTGGGTCTGAGCTATTTTATTGCTTGTAATTATGTACCTGGAGAAATGTGGTGGCTTCAGGACTCAGAAAGAAAGGGCTATTTGCCCTGCTTATTCTGCATTGCTTCCTCAGAAGGGCTCAGTGATTGGGTTCTTAGAATAAAGCTCTTCTCTGGAAGAGAGGAAGGAGGCAGGCAAAGGACAATTCTGAGGGTAGAAACTTGTGTGAGATGCATTCCTGTTTAACAAAGTCATTAGTTATTGTTAAGTTTTAAGCCCGTAATTTGTAAGCCTGACTTTTTTTTTAATTTCTCTTTTTCTCTATTTATTTCTCCTTTGGCTTCTCTGAGTTCTCAGCAAAGGTACACTGGAAGTTTTCATCCTGAGGAGGAATGGAGAGGAAAAGTTCTGGAGAGGAAAATGTTCTAAGTATGGTCCTAGACGTGGCTGGTAGGGGTGTTGGTAAGTCCAAAGGGTGATTGCTTCTTGGCTTGCTGGGGAGGGAAACTGGGAGGAGGGGAAGATGGAAATATTGACAGAGCCATCCTCTATCATTAAGAAACTTCCATCCATAAGCTCAGATTTTAATGATTTTGTGTCTTATTTGATTGGGGTCTGGAGTGAAGGATTGAATTTAGATATGTTTTTATATCTTTCCTAGGAGAGGCAGTTTCAAAATATGAGCTACTACTAAATAAAAGGTTTTTTTTTAATGTAGCTTGGGATTCCCAGGCTTCAGTCAAGCAGATGTAAAGTGATGTGAGAGCATATTTTCTAGCTCCCAGGATGTAGTGCCAAGTACCAGAATTTCTATCAATGGGTAGAATAAAGTCTATGCTTTGGCCTGTGCCCTCACCAGGGATTTTAAAATATAACCAGCATACTTTGGGCAAAATAAAAGCCTTGAGTTAAAAACAATAAGTAAACATGAGTCCATGTTGCTAGATCTCCCACATAGTCTCTAGAGAGTTTCAGACTGGACAGGGACAAAAGCCCAGATCCACACATGGGAGCACAATAAAGCAAGTTTTGGTTTGTCCCAAAAATGAACTTTGTAATTAATCAGAGCTGTCTATGATGGACTAGACTGTCTAGGGCACATTCTGATCTTTGTTTAGATCTTGAACGGCCTTATTCTTTAAGGTCCTTTCCCATCCTACGTGACTCAGTTATAATATACTTAATGGAAACAGAAATTAAATAATTACATGTTTTAGCTGGTGATGAGCTTTCACCAGGTAGTAGGTTTTACTGTGCTTTTGATAGTTCCTGCCTCCATATGCATGCAGATACAGTGTTATCATCACAGACACACATGCCCATATATATTTTTGATCTCTTGCAAGCACAAATATACCAACCTTAAGCCCTGTGAAAACCACCTGACCATTTCAGTTTAATGTGCTTTTTCCCACTAATCTTTCTCCAGCCCTCTCAACTTTCTCTCCTCCTTTGAAAAGCATTCTCACACCCTCCTTCCTCTTGAGACAACAAAGCAGCATTCTGCTGTGAGACTATCTGGAGCAGCTAAAAATGCCTGTGTGTATATATATGTCTTCCCTTTGACCTAGGGGAAGCTGCAAGGCATGTCTTGCATTACTCTGGGAACTTGCTGGGGATTCTCACATGACCCATTCTGGTCTGTCAAAAATATGGACAGCCAGTCCAATTTCTCAGTCTCAACAGTCACTTCTAGAAGTAGAGCAGGCTTGACTCCTCCATTTTAGAATAGGAGAATGGGACAGAGTTAGTTACCAGACAATAATGGCATATTTCCCCTCTTTTATTTTTTTCTTCCCCCCTCCTTTCTTCTTCCTTCTTTTCACCCATTCTTCCATCTTGCTCCTCTTATTCTTCCTTTTTCATTTTTTATGCTTTCCTTTTATTCCTCCTGCTTCATCAGTAGCATAAAGAGGGAGTGTATTGTAGGCACAGGGCATTACAAGGAAGGACAATGTACTATTCCTCATGTACTCTGACCTCTAAAGTAAAGGTAACTTCAATAGCATAGGCTTATAATTCCAATTATTCCTCTGGTGCACAGAGAGCTTAGAGAAACAATTATTAGGAGCACCTAGTGAGATCAGGAGGGCAGTGAAGGACTGCATGATGTAGTAAGAAAAGTAATACAAATTTCAGTTTAAGGTCTACCTTACCATATATCTCTCTGTGTGACCTTGGGTAAATGGCTAAACCTATCTGAGCTTCAGGTCATTATTAGTAAATAGATATAATAATGAACCTTCCATTGAGGGTTCATATTCATATGAAGATCAAATGAGCTCATAGGTGTGAAAGTGCCTAGCACAGTGGTTGGCATTCAGTAGATGTGGGATAAATGCTAGTTCTGTCCCATGCCTCAAGAGAAACATCACCTATTTGTCTTGATACTTCTTATCCTATAGAAGTCCTCAATATGTCTTCCTCAGGGTAGATAGATTCATTATATTGGATAATTGTCTCCTTTAATAATGACCTGAAGGGAGAAGTTAGCGTATGAGAAGTTAAGAAGCTCCTCTTTCCAACCTGATGGGACCTACCAAGTTATGGGCAGGTAATAAGTCATCCCTGTGTTGTATGGTAACTAGAGAGGACACAGTAGCCTGTACCTTCAGCAACAGTGCTGGCTTGGCAGCCAATGTGAAATGTTAGCCAAATTAAGAAATATTTTTGACTTTCCTGGAAGATTGGGTATGGAAAATCAATTTCAGGAAAATGTCAACTTTTGGGGGGATGCTCTGCCCATTATGGATCCATACAAACCACCAAATGGCAAGGTACTTGGTACAACAGGGCTATCCTACCAGACATGATATAAGTTGGAGACTTCCAGAATGGTAGAAACCACTTAATCACACTTCTTCATGGCACATATGGACAAGTTGAGGCCCAGAGAGAGAAACGTGGTTACACAAAGTCACACAGACAGCAGAGGCAGACCTGGGCCTGGAGGCCTAGAATGAAGGTTTTCAGATGCTACACTGTCTTCTTAATTTTTTAACTTAGTAATCTATCAACTGCAGCTGAAAACAACAGCCCCTTATCTGGGCCTATTTGACATAGTTTAAGGGGTCTTATCCTAGAGCTGGATAATATCCTCCTGACTGCCTGGAAAAAAAATTTCCCCATTTGCCACCTGCTTTCTGAAAATCCTTTCCCAGAACTTCAGAACCTAGCTCTATTCCCTCAGGGAATGATTGAATTTCCTTCAAATATTGTCCCCTGTCAGAAGAAAGAAAAGGTCTGAGCATTGACACAGAGTGTTTTGTTTTGACTTGAGAAAGAAGGGACAATACTGGAGCCTACTCTGATCCTGGGACCTGGACTTAGAAGAACAAAAATGTCTACAGCCTGTGTGATGGTCCTAAAGAAAGGGAAAACTTAGTTTGGGGGCTATAGGGCCTTTTATGAGGTCCATTCTTGGTCCCTTTTTGAATTTTCCTCCTCCCATCATCAAACAGAGGGTGACATCTACCCATGACCCCACGCCTCCATGTATGGCCTCTGTCCCCTTCGTGGGATGTGTTCTCAATAAAGAATTAGCTTATATACTCGGTATTTATAAAATGTTTATAATGCTTATAAAATGTAAGTGCTAGGACTTATTTTATTATGATTATATCAACATATGTCTTAGATCTAGAGGCTTTTTAAAAGTGAAGCCATAGTCCTACAGGGATGTGCAGCTGGCAGGGCCTTTTGAAGCTAGCCAAGCTGATCTCTTCAGTATACAGAAGAGCTGAGGACACAGATCCAGGGAGAGGGGAAGCATTACTGGCCATTCAGTGTCCTCAGTCTCAGGTCTGTGGTGTAAGGCCCTCTACGCAAACAGAAGGTCTGATTCCAGTTCTAAAGGACCTCACAAGCTGTGGAGGGAACAATATACATGCATGCAAACACACACACACAACTTAAATTTAACATTTTCAAAATGTTTCCCTGAGCTCCAGTTCTGCCTCTGTAAGTCCCAGTTCACATCAACTGATTTGGAGAAGGTAGAGAGATCTACTCTAAAATATGTTAAATAGTGAAAGTATTATAGTTGTAGAAAGAACAGTATTTTTTTGGAGTGTTAACTCTTCTACTAATTCTCTGTGGCCTGGAACAAATTATTTTCCTTCTTGGGTGACTTAATTCAGTGTCTCTTCTAACGTCGAAGTTCTAGAATTTGATGGGACACATAGCCCCAGGATAGGGTAGCCTAATCCAAGTCAGCTATGGGAAGTAGGGTTCTTTCTGACCACACAAGGGACACCAAGCTAACACCCATCTAGCCTCTCCCTCTAAGGACATGACACAAGCAGATTTGCAGCAAGAATCCTTTTACCCTATCTGGTGTTTCACTTAGTTATTACCCAGGCTTAGTTTCTTAAAAGGCTGTTTCAGTTCACAGGGATATAAATGAGGATGGAAGAAGATCCCCCAAAATAATGCTACTATAAGATAGTCAGACCTCTTTAGGGATATGTGTCCAGCATTAGGCTCCCACAAATAGCTCAGACAAACTGGACCATGTACACAGGGAAGTGAGTTACCACAAGAGGTGGTAAGAAATCAAGTCCTGTGAAGAACAGCTGAAGGATCTGAGGCCTTTTAGCTTGGAAAAGAGTTGAATAAAAGGGACCTGGTGTCTGTCCTCAGAACTCTAAAGAGCTGTCACAACATAGAGGGAGGAGATGTGTCTCCAAGAAATAGGGCTGAGGACTTTGGATGGAAGCCACAAGGAAGTGGATTTAGTTCAACACAAGAAAAAACTTTCTAACAGTTGGAGCTGCCCTTGGATAGACTAGATGGCTGGAGAAGTAGTGAATTCTAGTCACTGGAAGTATGTGAACAGACATAATGAGCACTTGTTCATATCAGTGAGAGGTGGATATAGGTTACCTATAAGGGCGCAGCTAGCTCTTGACATTACTTCTTTGGGGGCTGTATATCTTAACAGGTATCAAAATCTGGAAACAGAGGGGTTAAGGTATAATGGTAGAATTTTAGGTGAAAGGTAACAGATGGAGGAGCAATTTTGGTGGCAATGGGTACTTTTTAATGTCCCTGAGATATGACAAGTACTAGAAAAAGATTTGAATGTTTTCCAATAGAGAATCCTTCTCAATTCCTACTCAAACTTACCTCCTGGCTTCTTCAACAGCCTTCAACCACCTTCCTTCCATCTGCCCAAAGCTGAGAGAATCTGGAGCATTGGCTGAGAACACTCAGCTACTCAGCAACAGTAGGTATTCCTCAGTAGGCATTTAATTCCATATCCCCTCCACCAGAATTTTGCCTGTGCCAGCAGTGGCAGCCAGGACCTGCTTTGTTGCCTTACCACAGGTGACCACCATTAGGTGGCTCAGGAACAGCATGCCCAGTAAGAGCCCCATCATAGCCAGAGCCACTTCTGATCTTTCTTCCAGCCTCCTGTTGTCAAAGGGCTTGGACTCCTGATAGCTGCCAGCGTCTGTGCTTGCTCACTTCCTTTTCTTCCTTATATCTCTTACTTAGACTCCCACTCCTATCTCACATTTCCCTTCCTTCCCTATTTCAATACAAGTCACGTGAGCACCTCTTTCCTGCCCCTGCCTGGGGTTGGAGGTTTAAGAGTGAGTGAAGCAATTCCTCCCCCTGCTAGACTATTGATTTGACTTTCCCTGGAGCCAACAGGGGTCTCTGGCTTTGCCCACCCCAGGCTGTGTTTATTTTGAGTTTCCTTCACAAGATGAGGTTGAAGAATGACTTTTGGGTTGAGTCTGCTTCCTCCAGTATGAGGGCATTTTCCTTTCTGGCTGACCCAGGTAGAAGAGATCAACTTTTCTGGTCTCTGCAATATTCAGTAGTCATACTGTTAATCCCTGTTTGCTCAGTCTATTCAAATAAACAGAGTATTGGAGGTAAGTGCTTATGGCCTTCAGGGTATAAGAGATTAAGTATATGAAAAAGATCTTTATACAGCAATACTTGAATAATTGGTAAGCCATGAGATATCATGTATATGAGATATACCTCCATATTTCATATTGGGAAAGCTCCTTGAATTACTTTCTCCAATAGCTCTACCTCCTTGGTGATAAGGGTTCTCATTAGTCCACATTACTCCTCACAATGAATCTATTATTTATTTCTTTTATGAGAAAGTGAAGTTTAGCACCCAGTGTACTTGCCAATTGACCTGATAGTGATATACTCTATTAGGTAGGACTTTTCAATGACTTTTAATTGTTATATATCCCTGAACTGCAAGAAAGTGATATTAAGCATTCTAAGAAGCTTAATTGCCTCTCTTTCAGGCCCCAGAGTGACTGTAAGTTCACCAAAAGTATACCAGAAGTCTACCTCTAGGTTTAGCACTGCCAACAGTCTACTAAACTTTGAAAATATAAACACCTCAAAAAGAAAAAGTACATCCAACAAATTCATACTGAAGTTAAGTAACATCTAAATTTAGCTTTCTTTTTTGTTAGAGGGATAGAGAGGTCTTGGTTAGGGGAGGAGAGAGGTTTGAAGAAGGGAATCTGTGACTCCAGAGATATTATTTCCTCCATATGCCTGTCAAGGGGTAGTTACATACAGATGATTTGCAGCCATGCAAGGACTAAGGAGAGACTCCAGTATTTTAGGCCCTGTCATTATCATATAGAATTCTGTCAAACCCTTCTGCCTCTCAAATTCAATCCTCCCAGTCTGGTTGTCCCTTGCTTTTTGGTTACTTCATTCAGTCTACCTCACTGGAACTTCTAGACATTCTTTCCCATTGGGTCCTTACTCAGGGAACCATGAACTTTGGGGCACCTCCTTCTGTATTTTCCAACACCCTACTACTATTGATAGTAGCACCACTACTACCATACACACACACACACACACACACTTTCACCTATATAGTCTTTCTTGATGAAGAGCCGGAAGCTCATGCCCCATTGGACTGGTGTCAATTTCTGTTTTCCCTAGTGACTGTGTATTTTTTGAACTGCTTCGTGCCTCTTGTTAGGATCTTCTGGATCTGAAGATAAATGTCCTCAGGAGCATGCACAGAATTTCGGTGGGAAAGACTTCCAGTCCTACAGTGAGCTCAATAGCTGCAATGGACAAGAAGAATATTGAAGGGGAAGTTAGGAAGCCCAAAGAGAGACCTGGTTTTGCGTCTACTTCATTCTGAGACGTTAGGTGAGCTAAACCTCACTGAACCTCAGCTTCCCAAATTGTAACATGACACTGTTAGACTTGATATTTTTATCTTTTCTGATTTTTAAAAATCTAACTACACCATACATACAATAACAACTATAACAATGACAGCTACTATTTCTTAATCTATTACTCTTTCAAGTACCATATTCAACACTTAGTGTGGATTATTTCATTTGGACTTACAATCCCACAGATGGGTATTATTGTACTTACTCTTGTGTCTCTTCTGTCACTCTTTATACATTTACATTGTTATTAATCTTTTTCTTTGTGGAACTCATCACTACTTGACATCTTGTGTATTTACTGGTTTATTTGTTTGTTGTCTGTCTCCCACTCTAGAATGTAAGCCCTATGAAAGCAGGAATTTCTGTTATTCATGTTCATTGTTGTATCCCCAGTGTCTGACATACAATAGACACTCAATAGATATTCTTTGATGAATGAATTGAGTAAATCACAATTTTACAAATGATACTTAGGCCCAGAATAGTGAAATTGCTTACCTGTATACAACTGCCTAGACAAGATCCAAACCCATAACTGTGTGTCTTCAAAAATGATACTGTTAAGTAAAAATCTATTATGCTTTCTTCATACCTTTAATGACCACTTATAAAATATTTCTAGATCCTCTCTGGATATTGTAAAGGAGACAGAAGAAATGTTAGACATGATCCTAGGCTTAGAGACACTTTAGAATAGAGTGAGGATACAAATGTACAGACACATCAGTGGCACACACCCACATGTACACCCTGATACAAGGTAGACTTGTAGACTTAATAGAACTTTAAACCTTGTGGTTCAGCCATCTAGCAAGTAGTGTGAAAAGACTTCCCAGAGGACTTGATATAAAAACTACTATTTCTAGAACTCCTGCTCTCAGCTGAGGGCATTATCTCTAAGTCTTACATTATAAGGAAGACATTATTAATCCTTTGTATTCTGGTTGAGGAAACTGATGTCTACAAATACTGAGAAATCTGCCCACAGTCACACAACTGGTAAGTGTCAGAAGGGAGATTTTCAATTCAAGTTAGTTTGTTTCCAAAGCCTGCGTCTTTCTCCTTCCTTCCCAAGGACTATACTTGAGCTGAACCAAGAAAGACAAGATTGTGGAAGAGGAGAGGAGAGGGAGATGCATAGTTGTTTTAATCCAGGGAGTTCACCTTTTCCTTATCTTCAAACACAATGCTTCTTAGGATTATGTTATGCATATAGTAAGTGCTCACAGACTGTAGGTCAACAGCAAAAAATCTATACACTTTGAGGCCCAGTATCCAGAGGCCACTGGGACTCTGTGGCTACTTCCATTTCCATAGCCTACCTTCTTAGAAAAGGTTGAAAGGGCAGATTGGAACAATTAATCAGTGTGAGACCTCCTGTATCCATGTGCACCTTGGACTTGGCTGAGCTGGAGGGAAACAGTGGTGCAAAAAGGAAATCCACACAAGTCCTGCTCAAAAACACGCATACACACAAATCCATAAACACACAAATACTATATATAAATGTAGATGCAGAGCTACATAGGGACATATATACATATAGATATACATATGTATATATGATGGCCACAGGCATAAAATATTAGCACAATGACAGATAACACAAAATATACATGCAGACATACACTGCACGTAGACACACAAAACAGTCATACAAACAAATATGCACTGACATGCACATAGGCACAAAAAAAAACATTGAAACACAGATCCATACAGAACAGAAGTAGGCAATACATACATATAAGCATATAAACACACAGATAAACACACACATAAACATCAACCCAAAGGAACATAAAAAGAGAATGAGAGGTATTTAAAAGCAAACTAACAATAACAGGCCTCACATACTAAGGGACAGAGGAATAACAGAAACTCATTTGTACAGTAAGAGTACAGAGGTGGTAAAAAAAAATGTACTTCAGTGGTCTAAGAAGGCTTCCCAGAGTAACTGGGTTATGGGCTAAGATCTGAGATTTGTTTAGCACTGGCTGGGCAAAGAAGATGGGGAAGGAATTCCAGATAAGATGGAGAGAGAGAAAGAGAGAGCCAAAGCCAGAAGCAGCAAGGAGCATTATGGTGAGGATGGAGAAAATCAGTTAGACTTTAGCTTGGTGTGTATATATATATGAAAGTGAGGAGAGGAAAAGCTTAGCCGGATTGTGGATGGTCTTGGAAACCAAGCCAAAATGCCCAAACTTGACCTTATAGGCATCTATGAGAGGTATAGAAGGCTTCAGAGTAGATCTGGGACATGTTACTGTTGAAAGAAGTATTTTAAGGCAAAATCTATTGGCAGAATGTCCTTGAAATCGGGTGGGGAAATTGGAAGCAGGGGAATGGGAGACTGGGCTATTGGCAACATAATGCAATGGAAAGAGCATTGGAATAGGCATTAGGAGGCCTGGGTTCTTCCCCTTCTCTGGACCTAAGTTTTCCCATCTATACCCTAAAGATGTCATATTCACCCATGTATTTTAAAGCTATGTTCTGGGGAACCCTAGGGATCCTGTAAGGGCGAATTGAGAGGGAATGGGAGAGAGAAGTACTAGACTATTTCAACCAATGGTGTGTTGGGGCCACCTTGAGTCCCAAGAGCTGATTGTGCATATTCCTTCCCAAATCCATGTTCAGCGAAATCATGTTGGTAGCTTGAAATTGACCATAGTGGGAATATTTACATTATGAAAGTCAACAAATGCCATAAGCCGGGGCTTCTTTTTTTTTTCTCTTGAGAGAGCTGTTTTTTAAAATATTTACCCACATACTACTGACTTCAACTCTCCAAACCCACATTAATCAGAACTACTCTGATTTTATCTGCTAGGTCTTCTGGGATTCTAACATGTTATTTGCCTAAAACGGGTCTTTTGAAATTCACAGACCTATCTCACTGTTAAAGGCCCTGCTAGGTCTGGCTTTACAAGATTCTAGTACAAGAGCCCAGGCATGAGACTAGGTATATAGTGGGTAACAAACAAATGCATATTATTTAACCTTAATGTTCTTGACACTGTTTTAGGTCCTGGGGATATTGTAATGAACTAAATAAAATGATGCTTACTTTTCCAGTGGAATGTATCTATTAAACAAAAAACCAAACAAATAGATATGGAAAGGAAATGGAAAATTATATATGATATGGCTCAACCATGACGTTCCAGGAACATAAACACTGAATCTTGCTACCAACACCAAAATTATCTGTTGATTTATTGAGGTAATAGGAAGATAGGAAATATGCATGAATGTATATGTACTGGACTGGAGTTAATGCATATGGG